ATGATTTGGTTCGAAACCGTTCTGTCTACAACTTTATGGTGCATCTATGATCCTTCATGTAACTCCTACATATTGGCAAAAGAGCTTACCATTGAGCGGTCGAACCATGGTCAGTTGCTCAGTGGACGCCACCCCAACCACTGAACCACCACTTTTTGACATGGCTAGATTATAAAAGTCTAACTGAAGCTAATTGCGCATGTCATGGATCTTTGCAGTCAAATGTTCCAGTGTACCTTGCCTGCCTTGGAGTGAGTTCACCTGATTCTGTCTTCAGGTGATCTCCGCTGAGGGGACTTTACTACGGGCCATTTTATAAAGCACTTGTGCATATTTTTTCGTGGCTTGGCAAAAACTTCCAATTTTGTCTTTCAACAGGACTTGGCCAATCCACTTCCTAGCGACCAAAATCGGCATTTTTTGAATCAGGATTCGTGCCCTGCGAACAGCTTGGAGCTGGATCCATTGAACTTTTTTTGGGGCTTTATGGAAGAGCAATGAGCAGTCGAAATTTGGAACAATTTAGACGTTAACTAACTCCGTCGCATCACCGATTCCACAGAGAAACTAAGTGACACCTGTATCAAAGCTGATGGTAGCATCTTCGAACATCAATAATTATAAAATGTTTGACTTATTATTATAATTTTTGAAATGTTTGTTGGCAAAAACAAAATCTGAGCTTTTTAATGGAGCAAGTAATTTTTCGCCGCTCTGTATAATTTCATGGTTCTATCATATTTTTACACCAAAATCTAAGGTCATAGTAAGGAAAAACCTCTTAGGGTTTGAAACTCTAGCTAACTCTAAAAAACTGAATATGTTGATAAACAAAAACTAAGCCTACGTTTGGTCCAGTATAGCTGAATATGACTCTATAGTCGGTAAGGTTGTTGAGAACGGTAAAGAATGTTGCTATCACCTGAACTGGGTTATCAAAGAAACTATATGAAAGAAATTAAACATATAGCTTAGGAACACACATCGTTGGGCGCAACTACCCAATTTACAACTGAGCCGAAAGCGATGTAGATTGTGCCCTTGGATTTCGGATCATCCACAAATTTCCGCAAATGAAAGGGAAGTTCTTGCGCTTCTGGAATAATTTAAAACATTAGTAAACATACGAGTGTTATACTTCTCTTTTACCCTGGCAGTGTTCCCCAATCTGAATAAAACTGTTTATGGACGACAGTGGGAAACCAAATGCGGAAGGCCATTCCGTAAAGGTCATATGTGAAGCCTAAACTGAATGAATTATTGAAACTATAGGTAACTTAGTAGATGATACCTCAAATAACTCTTCATATGAACTGCTCGTGTTCAGGAGTTGGCCAGCTTTGATCAGTAATTTATTAGAGACGATACTGGTGTAGTACTGCAACATGATAATTCATTGGAAATATTTTCGCTCAGTATCTAAAGCAGATATTTGGAGAATCACGATTAGAATATTTCAAAGGAAAAAAGGGCTACTCCGATAATTGTCATTTCTCGAATCCCAGAATTTGTGATTCCCTCAAAACTTTACCTTGTAGGTTTATTTGATATATTGATTACAAAT